TTTAGTCATATTGATTCCTCATTATTCATTGTATAATGTTTCGAATAATCTACTTTATACTTTAATTAAAACAATAGTTATGCCATGCTCCAAGCATGCACACTATGTTTGTCTATGATCCTTACTTTGTGAATAGATCAATTGAAAAACATTTCAATGGTGCTCATTTTAAAATTCTAAATCCTTATTGTAAGTGTAAGAATTTCAAATTCTTGTCACTGCTAGGAAGTGTTAGATTCTAGACTATCATGCAATGATTCTTTTGTAATGTCTAGGTGCCAAAAATCATAGAGACTTGATCAATGTTATTACAAAATATTCCTTTTGGAGAATGTTACAGAGACTTGACCACTGATATTACAAAATATTCCTTTCGAACTGTCCACAGTCGCTCATACTTTGGAAGTAGGTATGAAAGAAGGCTATCATGAATTGGCGTGTAGATTGTCTAAAGCGTATTAGATATAGAAAAAGTTTGCTACAACGTTCACGAGTACTTATTAAATAATATTTGAGTATTGGAATAAACCCGCACTCAATTGAATCACTTCATGGAATTAATCACGAGTGATAGTGAGATGATAATATCATATAGTCTTTAAACCTAGATATATGGTTTATTGTTTGCGAGTTGGTTATGCATTGATAATAGTTTGATGTTATAAAACACATTGTTGTGTATGATTTGATGACTGAATAGTGAATGCATATAAGTCGAAGTTTATCTGTTCCTTTTATCCTAAGAGGGTACAAGCGATATCTGGGCCCCTCGAAGATTTGGTTTGATTTATGTGTTAGGCCCGGTCAGGACTGAATTGATGTGTTCAGTTAAGTTCTATGTCAGACAAATCAGAGATCGAGAAACAAACTAATGGAAAATAATTATGACTATGTTCCATATAATTGTCCCCACAATATCTTGAGAACGGAGGACTATATGATCCCTTATGTGAAGGACAAGTCAGAGTTCTACAATGGATTTTGAGAGCTACTGTTGCTAATCGGATTTTGAAGTCGTACTTACATTTATAGTTATTAGACTTATCCAAGTGGGAGACTGTTGGATTAGTGTCTAAGTCCATAACTATACTTGGTATGTACTTGACTCGGTTGTAGCATGGTCCTTTTGGGTTGCGTTCACCAAAGCAACTCGACTGGATGAATAATAGGGAAAGAGGTTTTGGTTTATTAATATATTATATGAATAATATATTAACGGAGAAATAATATGTTTTTAATTAATATTGGTCAAGTATTAATTAAGAATTAATTATGTGGACAAAAGAGATTAATTAAACTAAGGGGATTGGAATTGCAATTATAAGATAGTTACATTGTAGGCTAAGGAAACCCTAGAGATAGGGTGGACAAATTCTTGGGGATAAGGACTGAAGAATTCGCCCAAGGTATGGATCAAGAAGATTCTTATGGGTTGCTTGGTGGCTAAGCAACTGGATAAGGGTTTGACTGAAACCCTAATTCATCACCTATAAAAGGAACCCCTAGGCATGTAATTTTCAGCTACCACAACCCTAAGAAGAGTTCAGGAGCCAAAAATTACCTCTCTTCCCTCTCTCTCTTTCTCTCTCTCTCTCTCTCTCTTGCCTTCTCCAACTGCTTTGGTGTTTGTGATCTATTAGAGGCACTACATTTGAGGTGCTAAGGTTCTCAAAGGCTCAAGATCTTCAATCAACAATCAAAGGTAATGTTCTAACTAGATTATTACTATGATGTCGAGTTTTATGATATGCTAGATTAGGGGTTTGCAAGTCTTGGATAATTATGCATGTACAATTAGAAAAACTAGATCCAAGCATTAGGGTTTGCATGAACACCATAGGAATGTTGTTATGCTCAAAATCCATCAATCATAACATCCTAACAATATGCATATGCATGGTGGTCGCTTAATCCTCTCTTCTAGATGAAGGCTAACTATCTCATAACTGACTTATCGGCCTTACATAACCCACCCATGAAACTTCCACCAACCATGCAGCATTCATGTATGCTAGCCATACATAATGTAGGACCCTATAGACTTTCGAATACCTGATCCTATCCTAAGCCCTTCATCAAACAAGAACAGGAAATAAGGCCAAACCAAACATTCTCAGGCTATAAGATCTTAATTATGCACAACCGTGATGCATATACTAAGCAACTACAATAATAATGTCAATTTCATCTAAGAAAAACCCTAGGCTATCAGGCATCATATAATCAGGCAATTCTATCATGCAATTCCTGAAGATCCCTAGCCTAGTAACAGCATGTTGTTCTAACATATCACATAATCAAATAACTGTATAGTATTTTGAGGTCTACTTATTAGCTCTGGCTGATCGTACACTCTGCATCCTCCTTTACTTATTTTGAAAGCCATTTAAAATCATTTTGAAAATATTTTCCTTGATTTGAGACTGGATTCACACGCGTGTTCCTCCAATTCACTCAAACCAAGGCTCTGATACTAACTTGTAACATCCATAAAAATCGTGCCAAATTTAAACTTTTTAAGCATTTCAAAACCAGTGAATATTACAAAACTTGTTTTCAAAATTGTATAATATCAGAGTATCCTAGAAACAAAATCATAAATGTGAGGAGTTGTACGATCACGCCTTCCCGCGATCATCCGAGGTACCTGAAACCAAAACTAAAACTGTAATCCCGAAGCTTAGTGAGTTCCCCCAAAACACCCATACTGCCATACATACAACAATATACATATAATCACAAACAGCATACTATGGGTGCAGTCAACCATCATGTTGGAATACCCCAGGCCCTCAACCATCCGGTTGGAATGCCAACATAGTATGGGTCCAATCATCCTCGGGATGGAATACCCTAGGCCCACAGCCAACAAGTTGGAATGCCCACATACTATGAGTCCAGTCATCCTCAAGATGGAATACTCACAACCCACAACCATCGGGTTGGAATGCCCAGGTCTATTGACTTTTTCATAAAGTAGACAAGCCTCAACCACCAATCAAACATGTGCACCTATAACAAATAACCACATAATAGTCTATAGATAGTTAAACCGATCTAACAGATCATAGCAACATAATAACATCCTAACTACCAGGATACTGACCTAACAAATCATAATAACATATACCATCCTATCTACTAGGATATCGATCTAACAAATCATACTAGCATAACATATCAGGATAACAATAAAAAGGGATGGCCTTCGTTCCTTCGACCCTTGAGTATAATGAGGAAAACTCACCTAGAAAATGTCGAACTAAAGTGATAAGCTCAAACTTTCGAATCACAACCACAAATTCCAACACCTTCAAGTGATGCTAAAATGGAGTAAAGTTCAGATCCTCAATTGTTCTTTGCTCCAAGATTCTTGATCTTCAAGCTCCTCTCAAAAAGATCCACCTTCCAACCTGAGAGTCAGTGTGTTACAGTGGTAGACTTCCGTTAGTTAAGTCGGTTCTGGGAAGTTGAGTATTTATTATTTGTCGTTATTTAAAATGAATGTTGCTGACTCTCGTAAATTGGAAGGTATTCAAACTAGATTTTTTTGGGGAGCTGAAGGTGATCAATATCGTGTTTTATAGTGGGTTAATTGGGATGTAATCTTAAATCACTACTACAAAACAGACCTTTAATGACACGCTTTTTACGACATGCACTGATTAATGATACGTCAGATCTTTAGAAATTTGAAGAATTTAGGACACGCATGTTTGCGTGCCCTAAAATTAGTGTCTGACAAAAGAAAAAAAAACACGGAGGGTGCTTATGGTAAACGCGTGTCGTCTAGAAATGTCTCTTTATAGTTTTACAAACGCACGTTCCTATTAAGAAATGGGGACTAAAACTAGGGCTTTTTTTCAAGAACGTCTAACCTCTTATTCTTCTCCTCCGTCTCCCTCAAAAACCCTAGTTTCCATCTCCATTAATCTTCCCTCACCGACGATCTCATCTAAAACCTCGTTCTTACGATCCTCATCTTATAATTCTTAAACCTCGCTTCAACGCCCCTTCTCACAAAATCAAAAAAATCGATGAAGAACTAGGGCTTTTTACCCTTGGAATCGTACCTCACAAAATCCTTCATAGAGTTGGCGATTGGGGCTCTGTGACTACTTACGCTCACAACAACAATGATTTTAAGGTTTGTGTCCCCGAAGGGAATAATGGTGAAGGTATTACATCAGATGGTTGACTTATCGGGCGTCGTCACCAGTTTTGTGCGTAAGGAGGGTTAGCGGATGAAGAGGTGGAAGATTTTTTAAACATGAGGCTGAAGAAAGAGAAGAAGATTAAACGGTACGTATTTATTTTTATATTCATCTTCATTTTTTTTACGTATTTGAGCTCGTTTTTCATCCATGTTTGATTCAAACTTCAATCTGTCTTGCCCGATTTGTTTGCTTATGTTTTATTCTTCAGCACACTTGTTATCCCCATTATTGATTTCATGGTTAGTTAACTGATGGGTTAAAACTTGTCACATTCTAACATTAAAGATTAACCTTTCGTGTAAGATTTGCATTCTTTATGAAATTGAGTATAATGTTGGTATTGAATTTCCAACCTCTATAATAAATCTTTTGGATCATTACTGCAAATAAATAAAAATTTCATTTTTTTAACCAAACATCTGATTCATCATATGAATCTAAAGCTACATTTGCATCATATTGGATTTATAATAAGATCGGGATAAGAAGTTAATTTCAATCTAAAAATCCTATGCAATGACCAAAAACTAACAAGAACCAGGGATCAAAAGCTAGCTGTTGATTACTCTTCTTTTACCAAATGAAATTGGGGCATGTTAAGCATACATAGAGGTATACATTGGATTAAACATATATACTTTGAAGGCTTTTTTTTAATGTTGTATAAACCATTCTGCATCATGAAATGTTTGTAGTTGTAAAATCAAGTTTTTAGATAATCAATGGATCTGATACTGATTGTTATGAACTTACAGATGACAACTATTAACAGGGCACTTCAGGATGACAATGAACCAAATTCTGATCAAATTATTTATAAGTTATTATCAAGGTTGATGTCAATATAATAGATTTTATTAATAGTCTAGTAATGGAGATATTATTTATGACTCAATAACTAAATAATAATATGTTTTAAAATTTTAGGAAGAGCAAAAAAGAAGCTTGAAGAACTGTTACATCAATGGTCAGAATGGGATACTCTAGAATGCTCTATATCTGAGGCAAAATTTATTTTTCCAACAACAATTAAGTTTAAGAAATTCTCACAGTTATTTCAGAATTAATCAACTTGTTGAATCTTTTTAGGGTTCTAATGAAGATCTTTTTCGGTAATAATTGTTTTGTGTTTTGTGAGCAGTTAACAGATTTTGGGCTGTCAAAGGTTGGCCTAATTAACAGTACAGATGATGTATCTGGTCCAGCAGTGAGTGGCACATCACTATTGGGTGATAATAGGACTCAGTCATCTCTCTCATCTCCACCTCCATCTCCATCTATGTCTGCCACTGAGACTCAGCAAGAAAGACACAAAAACCGCTCTGCTGTTGGACAACTCCAGACTATTTGGCACCCAAGAATCTTCTGGGAAATGGACATGGTTTGTTCACAACTAACTTGATATAATAATGACATGAATTGCTTATAAAATCTCCTACATTAAAATGTTTTATTCAAATATCTTTCAGGTATATCAGCAGATTGGTGGTCTGTTAGTGTAATATTATTTGAGCTGATTGTTGGCATTCCTCCTTTCAATGCAGAGCACCCTCAGGTGGGGTTGGGGTTGGGGTTCTACTTTCACTTCTTTGTTAGTTGTTGTAATCTTACCTTTTCTTCACTGTTTTTTTAGATGATATTTGACAACATTCTCAACCGTAACATACCCTGGCCTGCAGTGCCTGATGAAATGAGCCCTGATGCCCAGGATCTCATTGATTAATAAGAGAAACTTTTTAATTATCATCTTTAAAATTTAAATACATTTTTCTGAGTTCAATCATTGTGCATATTACTTACAGAAGATCCTAACCAGAGACTTGGAGCTAGGGGAGCAACCGAGGTCTGCTTTCTTCTTTTTCATGATCAACATTAATCATTGTGAACAGGAAGCTAGATAATTTGATAAATGCAGGTGAAACAGCATCCATATTTTAGGGATATTAACTAGGATACCCTTTCCAGGAAAAAGGTGCATGAAATATATTAACTATTAAACTTTGTTTGATCTGATCATTTAAAAGAAAGTAGAAAATAGAAATAGCTATGTTTTGTGTCAGGCTGCATTTGTGCCTTCATCAGAGAGTGCACTGGACATAAGTTATTTCACAAGTAGGTACACATGGAATAACTCAGAGCAGGTATATGCAGCAAGTGAAACAGAGGACTCTAAGATTGATGATTGATAGCTTTAGTTCAGTTTGTATGGCCACAAGTGGTATTAATCTTTCAGAGACTGATGTTGTATTCAGCTCTTCCTCCTACCATGTTCTGCTACAACCCTATTATACCTGCACTGCTTGCCTTCTTCTATGTTTTATTAATCTTTCAGAGACACGACTTTTATACTAGACACCGAAGATGAGAACTCGGTCAAATCAGGAAATTGATTTTTGGTTGGGATTTAAAGGCCTGCCAACACCTCCTCCACCTGAAGAGATAACCATAAATTAATAGGGATTCATGTTGCTTTGTCCTTTAACACGTCTATTTTTACAGGAGGTTTTTGGTGGTTGAGTACTTTCAAAAATAGCTAAACAAAGGGACCAAAAATTAAGAGGAGGATTTGAAGACCCATAATGACTAAAATGCCCTTTGCTTTCCAATAGTGTACCCACCTATAGTTGATTGGTAACCGATTTGATTTTTGATTTTTCAGTTTTTCATAATTGTGTGCTTATTGATGTGTTCAGGTTAGGGCTTCCAGTTCAGTTCTGGGCTTTGTTTGCACATTTCTATTTAACAGTTTCAAGCAAACGCATAAGAAACATAGCATCTTTCCTATCACTTTTAAGGTACCTTAGAACTCCTAATTTTCAAGATTTGTTCTTATTCATTTAGGATTTATGAAATTAGATAATATATTGTGTGAAATAATTGGAAATTTTACAGGTGTACAATGTTGGAATGGAGGCAACAGTTGTATTGCAGCTTAAAGGTGATTGTTCTCTTGGTTACCTCCATATCGTGTAAGCCTTTAACCGTCTTCTACTATTAATCTGTTACCCATCTCTCTTTTCTCTGTATCCTTTTACCATTCTTGAGAAATTGACACCTTGTCTGACTTCAAACCTGGAGCTTAAACAATTATTTCTTCAGGATCAATACTTCAACTCACACCCATTTCGATTAGCAGCCTCCAGTAATCTAGGAAACTTGAAGACATGATCAAATCATAAATGACTGCTTGCTCAATGAACTGATCCTTATTTGGAGTTTTTTACTTGAATTTTGTTTTACAAAGTTGAGTTTCTTTATTCGTTATTTATGGTTATGTTTTTCAATTTGGATCATTAGTTGAGATTATTTAATTGCTTTAATTAATTTAATAACTCATCATTGAAATTAGAATCTAGATAATCGTTTGTTGTTTGTTTACTTATGTTTGACTGATGATTAGAGTATGTGTGTGTTTGTACTTTTTCAATTAGAGATGAATTATGATAAGTTTCAATTTGGTTGTTATTAATTATGAATTTTTTGGTGTACACCTGCTTTTATGCTCATTGGAGAACCTGATTTTAATTGAAGCTCTACAGAAGAGGTGCTAGAATATTTTAGGCAACAAAGGTAACGTTCCAACTTAGAGGAGTTATGTCTTTCTATCAATTATCGTTTACCTTAAAATCTTTTTTTAGTACTATTGACCACCTTTGTGTGTAGATAGGAAGCTGATCATATCCTAAAAGTGAAGGTTCTTAATTTTATGGAAAGTTAACAGATCATACAAGTAAAAGCACATCATCTGTGTAGGTATACTTCATGTCTCCCCACAATTAGATGCCCATTTTTCATAGAGTAATTATAGAAATGGTACCTGTGGCTGTAAATTATTTTTCCCTGATTTTTACTTCACAAAATTTAACAATAAGACAGTTATTTTGCATAATCTTCCTCCATCCTTCCTTCTAATGACTAACAGTTGGCGTTTTAAAAATGTCATGGTGTTGAAATTATGTCTAATTTGGTTGTCATGCACTAAAATTACTTGCCAAAGTGCCCTGCATGTTATTTTTTATTTTGTTGTTGACAAAATGAAAATAATGTGTTGCAATGAGGAATGCCTTCTAGAGAAGCAATGCATTCAAAAATTTCAATTTTTTGGAGGTTGTTTATTTCTTAATCTCATCTAAATGATTAACAAGGGATTTCACGAATCAAGTTATCAGATGGGGGTGAGCAAGGAGGAGAAACAAAAATCCCATCTTCAGAAATCAAATATGTTTATGATGATTAGGTTTAATATTCTTCTTAATTATTAATTGATGATTACCAATTTTTTTTTATTTAACTATAAAGTTCAAAACTTTAAGGTGCTTAGTTTTCTATATTTCCTTCGAAACCCAGGGTGCAGTTGAAGCATGTGCAACCTAAAATTTATATGCTACAAGATCACAAGGACAAACTGTAGGTAAGTTAACATAACTGATATATGAATTTGTGAATCCAGATCAACAAGCTCGTGTCATGAAGTAATTTAACTCTATTTATATGGTGGTCATAACTCATAAAAGAATGGTAATTGATAGTCCTATATACATTGTTGATTCACCATAATATGCTAAAATCATAACCATAAGACTACATAGGTTGTTGGAGATGAAATTAGTGTGTTCTGTAGTTTGTATTTGATTTTAATATTCTTTGTTCAGCTAAGCATATCCATTTGCCACAAATCTTGATATGGAGATTCCCTTTTGTTTTCCAGATGCAGTTATGCAGAATTTGAATTAGGAAAAGGAATTCCAATTTCTCCTTTTATAAGGTGGAGAAGAACTAAGAAGAATAAAAGCAAGAAAGAAAGATAGAGATGTTTTCATTGTTTTATGGACTTTGGAAATATCTGGTCAGTAAGACAGAGTTTCAATTACTGATTCTTGGAATTGACAAGGCTAGGAAAACAGTAATCATTTCTCTACTCTTTCATTATTACATACTTTTATGTAATTTGTGCATTTTGTCTGTAGTAAAACAAGCCTATTTAGACATGAGCAATACTTTGTTTATGTCTAGACCTTACTGGAGAAATTGAAGACACAATATTCAAGCTTAGAAGGCCTTCCCCCCTGATCGAATTGTTCCTACTATTGGAGTTAATATTGGTCGAATAGAAACTTCAAATACAAAACTTGTGTTTTGGGATCTTGGAGGTCAGGTATTTACGACCAATCCTTTTATCTCATACCTTCTAAATTTTCCAACTTTTCTTATGATCTTATCTTAAAAACTAGCATAATAATAGCAAGCACTAGAGATTAGTGTTACTGTTATTTTTTTTTCTAGTTTGTCATTGGTTCATGAGTATCTATACAGTCTGGTCTTCATTCAATTTAGGAGAAATATTAAGAGGAGGCATATGCTGTTATCTTTGTAGTTGATGCTTCTTGTCCATCACGTTTTGAAGATTCCAAATCTACCCTTGGTAACTAAGCTTTGTTTTATATTAGATGTTGCCCTTTTATGGTAAATTTATGAAATGAATCTATATAATATATGATGTATATGATGACAAGATAAAGAAATAGCGGTAGATGATGATAAGGTAAAGAGAACTCAAGATCTGCTATCGAGCTTCTCATACTTCTGCTCCCACCAACACCACATCAAGATTCGCCACTCTCAACACTATCAACACCACCTACTTCGATGCTGATCAGTACATGAACCTTCTTGTACACCCTCTCATCTCATCTTGAAATTGTATCCCTTAGATATTTTCTCTATTCTTCCATCTTTCACTTTCTGCTCTTATTATTAGACTCATTAAACATAAATGATAAAAGAATTATATAACATTTCTTCTTCTTCTTCTTGTCCAGGGCTGCATTGGTAATTGCAGACGAAGTTCAATTTAAATTTGATAGGTGTCTTAGGGCTCTACACGAAACAATGAGCGTTTTCTTTTATGTTTTATGTATATAAAGTTTGCTTCCATTTTCTTTTGTCTGAACTAAGGTTGGTATACATATAATATAGGTGAGGGATCTTCCATCTTTTATGTCTTATTGCTTGGATACTTCGGGATCACAAATCTCACTTCTCAACATTACCACCATACTACAATCTTGTTGTTGCATCTGGTCATGCCCCTCACCCTTATATGTGGAGTCCTCAACAGGTATAACATGCAAACAATTATCTTCATTCATTCAGATTTATCAGGTTGACCTTTCTGTTGACTTTTTTGTACTTGCAAAATCACAAAATCAGCATATGATGCCACCATATGCTGCTTTCTATCCACATGGAGGTGTTTATGCACATCTTGTAGTTCATCTTGTAAGTTGTGACAACCGTCAAATTCTGGTCAATTCAAAGTCAAACAAAGTCAACAAGTCAAACCGGTCACTCAACTAACCCTTGTGTACTAGGACTTACGTTCAGTATTTACTAAACAACTCGCTATTCTGATAAGAAATCATAAATCGAAAAGTACATACAACTAGATCTCCTTAACCTAAAAACTGCGGTAAGTGGCAAGCCAAACCGATAAAACCATGTTGCATACTCATCGGGAATGTGTAAGATCCTTAAACAAGGATTAACAGTGTTTACGGACCTTACATCGCGAAGCCGGACACTCACAAAAGCCACACTCGAAACCTCTCTCAATCGTTTTCACTCTATCTCTCTCTATTTGAAATCTCTCTAAGTATGTGAAATCTCTCCCAAATCTCTCTAAAGTATGTGAAATCTCTCCCAAATCTCTCCAAGTATGTGAAATCTCTCTCAAATATCTCTCTGTATGAGAAATCTCTCCAAGTATGTGAAATCTCTATCAAATATCTCTTTGTATGAGAAATCTCTCCATGAATGCCAAATCTCTCCCAAATCTCTCCAAGTATGTGAAATCTCTCCCAAATCTCTCTCCAAAGTTTCCCGTAACCTTTTAGAATCATTCGGGTCATTCCGACCCTTAACCGTGTCAAAAACGGCTTAAAACGGGGTAAAAACGAGAAAAATGGACATTAGGAACCCAAACCTCTCCAGAAGAGAGAAGCTTCTTTGGACCCGAAGGTCCTCTTAGGGACCGAGAGCAAGAAGGAGCCGAACCCCCTGAGCCGAAGGTCCTCTCAAGGCCGAACCTCGCCCAGGAGGAACCGAACCCGAACCATGCTTAAGAGGAACCGAACCTCGCTTCGGAAGAACCGAACCCGAAGGTACTGTTCACCACTGTTCATTCGGCACATTTCGGTCGGACACGTCGCCTCTTATCTCCGGACCGAACCCCCCCCCCCCCTTCGCCTTCGCCTCCCTTCACTTCCTCGCCCCCTTTCGCTTCCCTCTGTTCGTTTCGTTTCCAGCTACAGCCCCCAACAAGGACCGAACCTCGGCCTAGGGACCGAGAGGTCTCGCTGGGAATGCCTTTCTTCCCGGTTTTCGCATAGTTTTGCGTTTAAGGCCCGTTTTTAATTATTTTAACACGGGATTTTCACCCAAAATCATATTTTAACATAATAAACCCTAAATATTCACAATTTAATCATATTTTCATAATAATCTTTATTTAAATAATAAAAGCAAGTGGGTAAAGTACAAAGAGGTGGAGTGTTGACTTTGCTTTATCTTATGACACAAGCAACCACTCCCACACCCACTCTATGACCAGCCACACCTCCCCACCTTACCTAGGTCACTCCAATGTCCCTTACACTCAATTTACACTCATTCCTACGTTTTTAGAGCTGGAACAAACAACCTCTCTCCTCATTTCTCTCATTTGCTCTCATTTCACTAAGTATCAAACACCACTTTTCTCTCAAACTTTTTCCACTCCAATTTCGATATTTAAGGCTGATTTTCAAGTGTTCTTCCACTATTAGTAAGTATAATTCATCCTCCTTATGATTATTTCACTTCATTCTACTCAAATCACGGATATCTTACACAAACTCCATCATATTTGTGTTAGAGCTTCGAATCTTCAAGGGATTCTTCAAGTGTTCTTGGGTTGAACACTTCTCTTCTTCAACACTTATCTACTGAAATCACTCAAGGTGAGTTCATAACCCTACATTTTCATGTTTTCTCAAGTTTTCAGGGGGGGAATACAAGTTAAAACACCAAGAACATAACTAAATTTTTCTAACAGCCTTCATCAGAAAAGTTCAACTCCATTCACGGATTGTTTTGGGCATCTTAAACATTTTTGTTTTCAAAACTGTACAAGGTGCAAATAGTTCAAGTTTTTAGCTTTAAAATGACTACTTGCACATCTCCATATGATTTTTCTACGATTTATGGTGATTTTTACAAAACAGCCTGTCTTTTCAAACACAAACCCGGACCAGTCTGTGAATATGAGCATTTTAAGACAAGTTAAAGCTTCCAAAAATCATGATAAAAATTGTGAGTAAACTAGACTCATTTTAGGAACTCTCAGAATTTACGGATCTAGTTTTCGACTTCGTATGATTTTTCTAAAAAAGTTCTGAAAGACTAAGAATTAATTAACAGCTTCTAACTATCAAAACACTTTGTAACATGTTGAGCAAAGTGTTAAATCTTTGATAACTTCATATATTACATGTATTTCTTGTCATGATATATTTATATAATAGGAAATTACTTGCTGAATTTATAAGAATCCTCCATCGTAATCAATAGTACAAAACAAAGCAAGTTCATCATAGTTATATCGTACTATACGTTTGACTTACATAGAGTGGGATTCTTAAACACCACAAAGAAATATACTAAACTATAATAGGTATAGTTAGGGTATATATACATTTCAAACATTTTAATAAACTATAATAGGTATAGTTTATGATCATTTACATAACATACTCGTACAAAAAGGGGGTACAAATACAAAGTACCGGGTTTTTATACAAAAGGGGGTACAAATACAAAGTGTCGGGTTTATATACAAAAAGGGGTACAAATACAAAGTGCCGGTTTTCATACAAAAAGGGGTACAAATACAAAGTGTCGGGTTTATATACAAAAAGGGGGTATAAATACAAAGTGCCGGTTTTTATATAAAAAGGGGTACAAATACAAAGTGTCGGGTCTTTATACAAAAAGGGGGTACCGATACAAAGTACCAGGTTCACTTAAGATAGTTATTATGATATTAAAACTATATTGCATCTAGAACTGTTAGACTTCAACTATAATCGCTGAGCGTACATGTTTGAGTCTTATAAGAATTTTGTCTCGATTGGCCTAGAATTAGTGGTGCCTGCCTCATCTCCTGTTCCTTGTTTGGTTGTGGACCTAGGGCAGACCCACTATATTCAACGTTTTATCTAATTTAAACCTTATATAACTTATATACGCTGGACGATTATAGAGGAACTCTACGGGTCATTCTAGGGTTCATTAATGCATCATAAAGGAATATTTCTATTCACACTTAACTAAGAAAATATTGGATTTTCTGCAAATCAAACTATATCGATTTTACAAGGAAAAACGGTTTCTACTTCAAACAAAACTCTTATGAACTCACCAACTTAATTGTTGACACTTTTCAAAACTACTTGTATTCTCAGGAAATCAGTGAAACAGGAAAACTTCATCGCTTTGAGGATGGGACGTTAAACCGTCAACAATTTATTTTTGTCATCATAATGTAATTGATTTTGAATCATGTAAACATATACTTTGGTGTAACTTTTTCGATTATATATATGTTGGTTGTATTTACTTTGAGCACTATTATATACGCTGTTGTGATACTGTACATGAAGTCCTCCACCCCCGGACGTTTCCGCCATCCTTGGTTTGGGGGTGTGACATAAGTCTTCTTGACCTTTCTAAGATCATATTGTAAGTCTTTTATGAAGGTGGAAACAATATTGATGGGAACTCACACAGGTGGAAATAATTGCTCGTTTATAAAACAGTGGGGAGATTGAAGGAACGAGTGAAGGAATTGATGGGAATACAATTGAGGTAATAAACCCTGATGTCATCAGCTGAAGTTGAGAAGGCTGAGCCACAAATGATGGCTAAAACTAAGGTATACTGAGACAGAGCTCTATTTTTAACTTTGTTTTACTAACTTTCTGTTTTTATAACATCCTGTATCTTATAAAAGTTTAATCTTTATCTGGTTGGTTGATTAGTTGAGCAGCTGGCAAATACCAACAGATGTGATTGAGCAAAGAAAAAAGCAAGAGATGTCTGGTGCAGAAGATGGGCTTATGTGTGTATATTTAGTGTTGTAAGACTGTTGGTAACAATATATGCCCTCCTGTTACCAATCTGCAAGAAGTGAAGTATAAACCAACCTTACATACAAATATTTACAAGCTCATTCTATTTATAAACAAGTGAGTTGGTAAATTTTAATTCTAGATAAATTTACAACTGTAGCTATATATATATAAAACAAACTAATGAGTTATTAAAACAGAGACATGTGGGAGACATCAATGAAGTTCCTGAATCTGGCTAGAAAGGTCTATTATTTTTGTTGCTAATAATTTTGATATGTATTATTTGCAGCTTGCTAGGACATGATATAACTTTTATCAGTCCACACCAACAAAGTTGGCTGGAGAAAACTACTTCCTCCATTCAGGGTAGGTTAGTAGTTTCTCACGATGATGTGTTGTTTCTTGTGTAATTAAAAGCTTTTTGGTTTCAGCCTTTTGATTGTGTGATCAATAAAAGATTTTTGGTTTCAGCTAATGTTCAAGTCATTATTTGTCATCCACACTCGATGGACAACAACCAATTTTCTGACATGGAGGATTTGTTTTTTACATGATATCTGAAACAAGGTGTCCCTTACATGGTAGTTAGCGATTGTATTTTATGCAATGGATTGTATTTTTTGTATATGATTATTTGTATGACATTAAATTTTATGCAATGGATTGTATTTTTTGTATATGATATTTTATTTTATATTATGAGACATTAAATACAAATTTAATTTGAAAATTAGTAAATCTATAAATAATATTTTTTTTAAACATTTAAAATTATGATACGCAAAAATGTGTGTCATCATCATTTATGACATGGCCTTTCTTGACAGGGGCTTTCTTGATACGCATTGGGTGTCATTAACACGCGCGTCGTAAGGTTACGACACGCGAAAGCGTGTCGTCTTCCTTTATGATAGTGCCTTTCTTGATACGCATTGCGTGTCGTAAACGCGCATCGTAATTGCGCGTCGTAAATGAGCGTCGTAAATGTGCGTCGTCTATAGACGATACACAAAAACGCGTCGTCTCTCTTTATGATAGGGCCTTCCTTGACGCGCATTTGCGCGTCGTCTGAGCCCTTTACAACGCGCAATGAGCATCGTAAAAGGCTGTTTTTCTAGTAGTGAATGATAAAAAGTTTGGAGGTTTAAGAGTTGGTAGTCTAGCTAACTTTAACCAAGCATTAGTCTATAAGTGGAGATGGAGGTTTCTAAATGGTGAAAATTTGTGTTGGGTTAGGCTTGTCAAAAGTTGTTATGGGAACGATATGGATTTCTCGCTGTCTTCCTCCAATTTTTTGAAAAAAAAGTATTTGGAAGGGGGTCGTAGATTAGGTGTGGATTTTTCATTACAATAGTAAAGTTCCATTTGATTGGGTGCGTAGATAAGTGGGTAATGGGAAAAATATTTTTTTTAAAAAATCATGTAACATATAATGTTTAGTCCTTCATGATCAATATTTTTTAATTGGCAGGTGACATGTGTAGTCTAGAGAAATGAAAATTGGTATGAAATGGAAACACACTTTTATTATTTGTTTATTATAACATCATATATTTTTCTTGCTTATTATAACATTATACTATTAAAATAACCAAATTATAACATTATCATCCTAAATTTTGAATTTCTGTTTATTTTTCTATAGCGATATGTGTTATTTTTGCTATTTTATGTGATACAAGTTATATATCAATTTTTATTGAGAACAACAGAATTAACTATAGTCTATCAGGAAAATTTAAGATCTAAAAAAGATAGTAAATCGTACAATTTAAACGGACCATGTAAACTCATGTAAACTTTACAATTTGATCGGACCATATAAACGCACAGTATATATGATTAACAACTTTTGGATATAAATTGAAAGGAAAATTGCAAGAAAGTCACTATATTAAAACAAAAATTTGATTTTGATATCAATTTTTTTTCCAATTATATCATTATATTTACAATGTTGTTGGGATATCAACCAAATAATTGGTTCTCCTTGTTCTCTCGGTAACTATTTTTCCTGAATTGCAATAAAGTTACTAAGTTTACTAAAATTTTGATTTTGACATCGAGTTTCAAATTGCAAGAAATCACTATATTACCACAAAAAATTTTATTTTGACATCGAGCTTTTTTTCTTAATTATGTCATTGCATTTAAAGTTTTGTTGTAACGTCAACCAATCGACCGACTCAGAAGATTTTATTGTGGTTTAGAAACTCGATTTGTACAACAAATAAATGTAGATCGGTCCAAGGTTCAAATTCACTTACAAGTAAGCAAAAATGACATAGTCACCCTTCCAGGAGCTGTTATTGTGGTTTTAAAGATCGATTTGTACAATAAGTAAATGAAGATCCATATAAGATCGTTTTAGTGGTTCAAAGTTACTAAGCATCTCTTAGATCAACCTTGTAGTAGGGGTGAGCAAAACCAAAGTAGAAAACTGAAAAACCGAAAAAACCTAACAAAACCGAAACCAAAACCAAAACAAAACTGATTGTAATAGCCGGATTTTTCAGGTATCTTGTATATTTGTATTTTTGGTGATTTGAGAGGGGACTCGGCGAGTTGGAGCTCAGACTCGGCGAGTAAGGACGCGGATGTGGACGCGGGATCGCGCCTGGACTCGGCGAGTCCAGGATATGGACTCGGCGAGTCAGCGCTGTGTAATGAAACCCTAATTTCTCGGGTTTGAGACCTATTTAAAGGGCCTAATGGCCGTCATTTGTGCTCACCGGTCCCTTGAGTGAAACCCTAATCGAGTGTGAGCATTTGGAGCTAAGTAGGAGGCCATTATTGATCTTGGAGGTGTCATTGTTGCAAGGAAGGAGAAGAGCTAGCCAAGGGAAAGCAAGAGGAGCCACTTCTGTGGGTTTGGAGTCCAAAGCATCACTATTGTGGTAATAAATTCGAGTTATCTTCTTTCTTGTTGTTGTTTATCTAGATTTAGGGTTTGTTGAACCCTTTTATGGCAAGATCTAGTGTCCTCTTGGTCCCTTATGAGGTTTGAACCATAGATCTGGACCCTTAGAGGTCCAGAGTGTCCCTTTACCCAAACTTTTTGGGAATCAATGGAGGCTTTGGATTGGAATCCTCATGCCTTAGGTCAAAACTCCATTTATGAGCCATGGGGTGTGTTATGGGCACCAAGATAGGAGCTTTACGTGATGAATCAGTCTAGGGAGGCCAGATCTATAGATTGTGGAAGCAGATATGACCTTAGAAGCAAGTTGGAGTGGTTGCATGGCATGGACTCACCGAGTCTGTTCATCAGACTCGGCGAGTAGTTTGAAGATTGCCTTGGGATTGCTCAGTGAGTGGTCCAATCGAGTCATGGGTAGACTCAGTGAGTCAGGGTGAGTTGGAGAGGGATGATGAGTGGACTGAGTCAAACTGGGACTCGCCGAGTTGTTCTTGAGACTCGGCGAGTTGAGTCGGGGTGGCCCCGCGATTCTTTCAGGTGAAACTCGTCGAGTAAGGGGGGATACTCGACGTGTAGTAAGGGGATTTCAGAGGGTTGGTGAAAACGTCTAGACTCGCCGAGTCGCCGTAGCACTCGCCGAGTCCAGTCAAAGTTGACCGTTGACCGTTGACCGGTGACCAGAGTTGACCTGTGTTGACTTCTTAGGGATAGTCAACCTTAGAGATATAAAGTGTTAATTAGAGACATATAATGTTATAGGAGGATTAGAGCTCGGAGGATCGAGCACGAGGGATTTCCAGGATTCGTGAGATACCGAGATACGCGAGGTGAGTCTTCTCACTATACTATAACCTTGAGTAGGTAACCAGAGTTATGTGATAGAGTATTTGTATGCTATGTATGTTATGTGTTGTACTGCATTATTTCTATGTGATTTATGTGGTGCATGTTTATCAGAGTTAGAACCTGAGGGTTCACAGAGTTTGGGTGCACGGACCCGTAGAGTCATAGCCTCGAGTGGCTAATATGTGTTATATGTGGTATTTTGGGGAACTCACTAAGCTTTGTGCTTACAGTGTTTGATGTTATTGTTTCAGGTACTAGTGATGACCTCGGGAAGGCGCCGACTTGATCCGTACACACACACTCGGAGTTTTTACATTGTGATCTTGGGATTTTGTATTGACCTATATTGGATAATTAATATGGTTGTTTGATGAATATTAATCGAATTATGTTTTATAAGAAAATTGAAAATTTTGTTTTGAAATTTACGGTGTTACACTAATAGTTTAGGTTTGTATTATTACTAAAACCGAAAATGTAGGTTCGTTTTTGGTTTTTTGGGAATGTAAAAACTGAGCGATATTATATAATATATGTGTATTCCAAGAATTATACATGTATATATTTATATTACATGACTAAAAAGCACGAAAAGCGCTTCAACTTGATGGTTACATGTTCAAAAAAAATTCGTTTTTGGTGTTTTGGAGGCTGGACTCGCCGATTCCATAGCTGAACTCGCCGAGTCCATGCTGACTCGACGAGTCCAGGCTTGACTCGACGAGTCAACTCGTCAGATGGAGGATATCTCAGGTTTTCTTGCTGTTTTTGCTTATGAATAGTTACCTTATCATGTTAGATCAATATTAATCCGATTATATGATATATTTGACTATAATTTTGATCTAATTGAAGATATTTATCAATTAATAAGATAATTGTTTCCTTATGTGATAATTGATTAATTATTTTAAGTAAATGGATAAATTGTTTTGCAAGAAATCATTAAATGAATCAAATATGGATAATTATGTGATTAAATGTTAATTTGAATTATTTGTTATTTGATCCTTGTTGTTATGAAAAGTTTCATATTTCTCCCTTTAGGTTTTATAGTTTAAATTTGAACCCAAAAGTTTTGTTGTTTTGAAATTTAAATAGTTGAAACCCTAATGTTTTGAAAAAGGTTCAAAACTTGCCCTCAAGTTTTGGAATTTAAATTTTAATTAAATAGCTTAATTTTGATGTATATTTAAATTCTAAACCCTAATGTTTTGAAATGTTTCAAAACTTGCCCTCAAGTTTTGGAATTTAAAAGTTGATTAAAAGTTAATTATGAATGTTAAATTCTAAAACCCTAGTAATGTTTTGAAAGAGTTCAAATCACTACCTTATGGTTTTATTAATTAATGAAGATGTATAATTAAAAGAGATTTAATAAATCCATAAAAGTTTAGGTTAACCATTCAATTGAATTAAAAGTGTAATTGTTAAAGTTAACCACATAGTATTTTAAAAGTGTAAAATACACCATATACTATATATAACATTAAAAGTTTAACATTATATATATGTATGAGTAAAAGTCAGTCTTACCGTTAGTAGGCCTCATTCACGAAGCTGGTCTATAAGGGGTGTTTAAGGAAATTGCCTATAATATGGCG